ATATTTATCCAACTGTTTCTTTAAGAAGAAGAACTAAACTTCTTTGCTTCTGCCTCATCCGCGGAGTATTTCTTTACAAAACATATACATATCACATATCAGGTATGAGCTAACAAAATATAGTTCTGGCAACTAAGCTGTATCGCTTTCAAATATTCCATAGGCACATAAATCTGCAACATATAAACAGAACTTGTTCAACAAGTATTACGACGACGGTAAGTCTGAGTGTGATCATAAAAATGCAAACATGTGATCACGACTTTCTTGTCTTTAAAAGAATGTTATCACGTTATTTTGACTGACGAAAAAACGTCATATCGATTTGCAGATGAAACCATTGTACAAAAACGGTGACATCTCAAATGGAGCACCTGAATTAACCTGCAAATGGTATATTAGAAATTTGCATTTTTATCATGTTTTACTCTTATGGTTCATTGACAAGTATTCTGCAACATATAAAAAGACTTTCTTAGCAATAAGTTTCTTTGGCTCCTTGTTTGAGAGTAATGATTTGACTATGCCTTTGCATTCCGCCTAAATTAAACACTATATAGCGTCTTTGAGCAACATAAATGCATATTCTTAAAATTTTATGTTATGATACTAGTTATTCGAATTCAAAGATATTTGGAAAAAATGGAGAAATTCCTGATTCGTGTTGCTGAATTACCTCAAGCGCGTGCTTGTATCGCCGAAGCTTTCGAAGCTCCCTCACAACGCGGTTGAGCTCATACTTGCGCGCGGTGTGACCTTCTTCCTTCCATTTCCGGATAGTAATTACGGCGCTGCGCTTTGAGTACACAAGACTTAAAAGCCTCCTCCCAAGAGTATCCTTGCCTCCCTTTCTCATGATTATCATGCCTCCACAGCCATCTTCTGCGGCTGTGGGCTTTCTAACCGCCGCCGCCGTAGCAGATTCTGTCGACAAGAGGCGCACGGCGGCGGCGGATGTCCGAACAAGACGCGGAAGCATTTTCATCTCTTTCACAGCTTCTGATTCTGAGCAAGTCCCATTTTTGGGCTTAAGTATGAACTAAAAAATGTTGCTGGGCTTTAATAGTTTAATGGGTTAACACTTAATACTCCCTCCCATCGAAGTAATTGTCTTGATTGCTTTATCATAAGTTTAAAAAAAGTAATTAAAAAAACTAAAACTTGTATTTCAAAAAAAAAACTAAAACTTGTGATTGAGATTTGAGTAAAAAAGAGTAAATTGATATGAATCACACATTATTATCAAAAGAGAGAACAAGACAGTTATTTTAGAACATCCCAAAAGGAAAACAACATAATTATTTTTGGACGGAGAAAGTAATAAACTCGAATTGTCCCTAAATATTTAAAGGTGTTCTTCTAAAAAATATATATATATATATAGAAATAATAAAATGTACTTCGTATATTATCTACAAGAAAGAGAGTTGAAGATGTTTCTCTGGCCTTAGTCTAGGTTTTAAAGGTTGTCGTTGAAGGATTCCCGAGTGCGGCTTGCTACGTACCTACTATTCTCTTCTTGTTCGACAGGTTTGGCACGACGCAGGGGGACGTGCATTCACTTTGCTTCAATGCGGGAGAGAGAGATGAGGTGGCACGATGGCAGCGACATGGCAAAAGGACTTGATCGCAAGCTGCGAACGATGGGCTATAGGCGCGAAGGAGGTGAGTCTGGTTGTGTTGGAAGAGGAGGTCACCGACAAACAAAGTGGAGACTTGACCTACTAGGGTCAATTAATTATTATTAAGGAAAATAAACTATGTAGTCCTATTTTGGAGGATTATTTAGAGTATACGTTTTTTAAAGACTACTTTTATAATATACATGTACATAAGACAAGACAACACATCTAGGGGTGGGCAAACAAGTCTTGGAACCGCGGTCCGGTCCGGTAATGGCGGTTCGGGTCCAAAACGGGCCGGTTCCATTTTTTGTTCCCATAAAACGGTCCGGGTAGGGTCGGATAATTGTTTTTAAGGAACCGGACCGGTTCCAAAATTAAAAAATAACGGGTACCCGGCCCGGCCCGTTATACATATTGTATATTAATTTATTAATAGTTTTGTGATAATCGGTTTTGAAATAGTTTTGTTTCCTTTGCTAGAAGTGGGATTTTAAATTGAGTTGCAGTAACATCCTTTTGTTTTCAAATTATTGATTAAATGTTTCATAAATATCTTATTACTTTTTATTGTTATTGAATTATTCATTTCTATAGAATTTAATTATTTGTTAAAGATGATTTTGTTATATTTTTTTATTATATTGTTATTAAAATATATAAATTGTGTTTACCACCCACCATGTATGTGTCAACTTTGGCTAATACTGAAAATTGAATAAAAAAAAAAGCAATCACTTTAATATGTGATGTTAGACAACATGTTTAAATACAAGTGTTAGAAAATATGTATTTTGACTATGTTGCATATTTTTGGAATTTCTTTAATTGTTTGAAACTTATATACAAGAAATTATGGAGTATTGGACTTTTCGCTTGTGTTATATGTGCACCACTATGTTGTTATTTTGAAACTTGCTAATGTCCTATATTATTGATTATTGATTTTTGGAACTTCGTGAGTTTTTACTAATTTCAAGACATGAGAATAGAAACCGTAAAACCCGGACCGGACCGACCCGTTTCAAACAGGCCGGGTAATTTCCGGTTCCTATTTTGAAAATTGTAATACCCGGACCGGACCGAACCGTATAATGGAACCGGCAGTTCCATTTTATTTTGCATTACCCGCCCCGCCCCGGCCCGTGCCCAGCCCTAAACACATCATCTCTTATTATTTAAAAGCAAAAAAAAAAATGCCGTTGTACTCTAGATCAAAAGTCTCTGTGATATTCCTGTGGGCTGTTGACACTAGCAAGTTCATGTATAGTTCAAGACTTCAAGCCATATGCACTAAGACTACACAGTACTCCCTCTATCATAAAATAGATTGATTCTAATTTTTTAGGACCTATATCATTGAAATGTGATGAAAAAGCGTTGTCTTGAAAATTTTCATTCCAAATTTCTCCTACTTTTTAATACCTATACCATTGTATTTCAGCGCATATGTTCATCAAATACTTTGTACGACAAAAAAGTGTGCTTCACGACATTTTTCTCTCCTCTTCTCAATATTTTTAATGTTCACGGGGTTGTTTTATGAATAAATTGTGGACAATAATAAAAAAAGATCAAAGTAAAGTGGATCAAAAACTTTGAAATTTCTTAATATCTAAAAGCAAAAGTAATACGATGAAGTGTTCTCCGGCAAAAAATGTCCAAAAAACCATAAAGTTTACATTCTCTACAAGATTTCCTAATGAACCACATCAAATGCAAAAGCCTTTTCAAATAGACTACACTTAATCTCTTATAATACACATAAGATGAGACATCATCTATAATTTTTTGAAGTAAATTTTTTTTTGCTAGGATTATCCAGCTCAAAGATCCCCATGATACTTCGTGGGCCGTAATGCACGGAATTGGATTCTCTGCCTTAAGGCAGAGTGCCTTACTGCAATCAAGGGCAGAGATTTAATCCATGACTTTGGGATAAGTGAATAAAGTGGACCCCTTCATCTTCTACCTTTAATTTTTTCATCTAAGGGTTGAAAATGGCCAGGCACCCTCCTTGCCTGCCAAAGCAAGGCAGAGGCCCCTGGTCCGTAATGCACTGTAACAAGCTCTCATATAATTCAGTTTACATACATGAGACTCCATCTGTTTCAAAGTAAAGTTCATTTTTTTTGTATGTCCCAATATTACAATGATTTTCGCTAATAAGCTAAGGGTTATAGCGTAGTGGTAATTGCTAAGGCTAGATGTTCGTCGTGGAATGCTGACCCGTTGGACCTACACATTCGTCAGAGAAGGGGATAAATGGGCAGACTTTCTAATTGGGCCATTAACCCAACAAACTTTGATCCACTATTTTAACTAATATATTTATGTGAAACTAAATAAATTTACTGTATATTTTTATGACAGTATTGATAACAAAGAACATTTTCATACAATTCTTATATTATCAATATTACAGTGTATAATTACATAATCAATCAAAGTTTAACATCATTGATTTGAAAAATAGTATTTTTTTTGGCAAAATTTGAAAAATAGTGTTTGACTAATGGATATGTCGACTTAATCGCTAAGTCATTCAGTTGTGTTTACTTGGGACTTAATCAGAAATAGGACTTATTCGCTCAGACAAATTTGACTTATTCGTTCAGTGTAAAAATATCACTCCTTCCGCTTCAGACACGAGAATGGACATCTTTCGCGCTTGTAACCCTGGAGATAATCATTTTGCTTATTTGCCCTTTAAGTTTGAACAACTTCTCCAATGACGGACGCACTATCGATTATCTCCCCCTCCAAGCAAATATATCAATCTCTTCCGTTTTGAGACCATTCTCTGGTATTTCTCTTGTTTATTTCATCGATTGTGTATTTTCTATTTTTTTTTTAATTTTTATACCAAAATAGAGTTGTTTTTCATCGTTTCACTTCAAGATAAGTTATGCATCATACGCAGTATTTGTATATCTTCTTTATGTCCTGCTATCCGTCATAAGAACTCAGTGCTCCATAAATGTATTATTTTACTTTTGCAGTATTTAATTTATATAAATCGGATCCCTAACAATAATTTACCATGTTTAACAAATGAATTGTGACGTTCTTTGAAGCTAATACATATATATAATATTTTGAGGTGTTGATTGTATTGATAAATATTTTCAATAGCACCGTAGAGGATCAATCTTTGGAGACAATTGTGATAGATATTGATAAACAGCTTGTTATTCGAGATATGTTCAACACTTGTTCTAGACAAAAGGGTAAACTAGTCATTTAAAGTAATTTAGACTACACATTCTGACATTCAGCACACATAGTAAACAGCTTGTTATTCCTGTGTCACTTAATCCAGATAGACGTCTTAATACAGACAGACATGACTTAATAAGTAGTAGTAAAAAAAGGAAACAACCCCTTACGTCATAATTGTAGAGAGAAGAAACAAGAAAAAAAGGAAACCTACGAAAAGTTCATATCATCTCAGCTATTGCCAATATCTTTCTCGCCGCGCGCTCACCCTCAGAGCCAACCTCAGCGTCTCGTTGATCTAATGCCTGGCGCTTCTACTTCCGGTGGCCGCACAAACATCCGAGTGGTGGTCGTCGGCGACCGCGCAACCGGTAAGTCCAGCCTTATCGCGGCGGCCGCTTCCGAATCTTTCCCGGAAGATGTTCCGCCAGTCCTTCCTCCCACTCGCCTACCGGCAGATCTCTATCCCGAGAACGTTCCCGTTACAATCATTGATACATCATCCAGGTTCTTCGAAATGTTCCTATAGTCATTTCATTCGCTTACGTGGCCTTTTCTGATGACTGATTGATTATACTCCCCAATGTGATATGCAATATTCTAGTTTGGAGAGCAGGGGTAGGCTCGCAGAAGAATTGAAGCGAGCGGATTCAGTTGTACTAACCTATGCGTGTGATCAACCTTCCACCCTGAATCGCTTAAGCACTTTCTGGCTTCACGAGTTTCGTCGCCTGGAGGTTCATTTACTAATCAATTTGGATGCTTTTCTTCTTGGTCGGAGTGAAAATTTAATCAATTTCAATGCGTCATTCATTAAATAACTCTAACGATCAAGATAACATTTTCTGGTTCTATTTTTGCTCCTCTCCCTTTAATCAATTTCAATTCGTCATTTACTAAATAACTCTAACTATCAAGATGACATGCATGAGTTGAAAAGAAAAATAAGCTATACGTAGTAGTTTTTTATTAATATGCTAACTTGACCATAATTTAATAATAATGGGTGGATAGATCAAAGCACCTGTCATTATTGTTGGGTGCAAGCTAGATAAGCGAGATGAGGAGCATCATATGAATCTAGAGCAGGTCATGGCTCCTATCATGAAGCAGTTTCGGGAAATTGAGACTTGTATAGAATGTTCTGCAGCCAATTTGGTTCAGGTTTGTCAAAAATAAGTTCTTTCTGCTTCATGTTTCCAGCCTGCATGCATATTTTTTACATAGAGTACGAAATATCTTTTGTTGTTCTTCATAGGTACCTGAAGTATTCTATTATGCACAAAAGGCAGTACTTCATCCAACAGCTCCTCTATTTGATCATGAAGCCCAGACACTTAAACCTCGTTGTGTTAGGGCCTTAAAAAGGATATTTAGCCTTTGTGATCATGATGAGGATGGTGCTCTCAATGATGAAGAGCTGAATGAGTTTCAGGTCATTTTTTGCTCTAATGTCTTTTAGTTTACCAACTTAAGTCTTGTATCATAATTATGAATGTGTTTTCTCTCTCACAAATTGTAAATTGTCCCTCACTCACTGTTATTAATGAATTGACTTTTCTGTTTATGTAAACAGGTCAAATGTTTCAATGCAGCTCTCCAGCCAGCCGAAATAGTAGGAGTTAAACGGGTAGTACAGGAGAAGCTACCGGCAGGTGTCAACGATCTTGGACTTACTTTAACAGGGTTTCTCTTTCTTCATGCTCTCTTTATAGAAAAAGGCCGGCTTGAGACAACTTGGACAGTCTTAAGGAAATTTGGGTATAATGATGAAATTAAACTGAGGGGTGATTACTTGACTATTCCATTTAAAAAAGCCCCAGATCAGGCAAGTCATTCACTAAACTTATTTTTGAATTCCACAAATAATACTACGTACAGTGTAAACTTAGGTTGCTTGTTCTCCTTCCCCTTCCTGAAATTTCTCTAATTGTCAAGTTGTTGGACTTAAGGAAGGAAGGAGTACTTAATCGTAGATTGGCGACAAATATCCATCAATATGATTGAATTTTATTTGAATGTTACAAGACCTAATTTTTAGAGATATGGTTGTTATTTTATTAAGTAATTCCAGCTGCTTATTGATTAGGACTAGATAGAGATATATGTGTCCTTGAATCTTGAAATCAAATAATTGGGCATGAAATACGATCATTTGAAGCCATCAGTGATTTACTGATTCCCATACATCAGAAAAACTCAACCTTTTGTCTTCATCATACTTCCTATTAATTTGGTGGATAATCTTGCATTATACATGCAGCCCTAAGCACAAACACATTTATTGACCTGTTCATATTTGCTATTTTCTTTCTGATGGTGCTCTTACTTTCTGCAGAGCATTGAATTGACTAGTGAAGCTGTTGAGTTCTTGAAGGGAATATTTAGTACATTTGATGATGATAAAGTATGAATTCTATCTTTTAGTTGTGATATGTGTGCACACGCAATGATTTTTACACATATACACACTATGACCTTCACTTGCAGGAGACTGTTGTTATTCCAGTGATGCATTTGTGGTTCTTAAACTTTCCAAGTTCATGTTAAACCTTTTTGTTCACCCAACACAAACATTTTGTTATCATAAAACCATAAATTTTTCTTCAACGTGCAGTTCTAAATTTTTGTGTTAGGGTAATTCTGACTTATGTCCACGGGTTTGCTATATTTCTAAGTTTTTTTACCTCTTTGCTTGATAGGATGATGTGCTTAGAAATTCTGAGATTGATGATTTGTTTTCTACAGCACCAGAAAGGTTGGATTCCCTTACCAGTACCACTTTTATAATCAGAAAACTTTCTTAATAAACACTTTTATGATATCGCATTATGTTTGACGTTTCAGTCCTTGGGAAGAAGCTCCCTACAACGAGGCAGTTGAAAGAACTATATTGGGGGGTTTATCGCTTTCTGCATTCTTGTCTGAGGTTTGGATTATTGGAACCCATGTTCTCTTCTTCCCTCTCAAAGTTGTGCGAAGACATTTCTTCTTAACACTAGGAACATGGTTTTTCACAGTTCTATGTTGATTCATTAGATTCCCTCTTTTTATTCATTAGTACTTGTTTTGGCAAGTTCAGTATCTATATACTCCCTTCTTCCCGTGATTGAGTTCCGAGTTTGAATAGCTCACATATTTAGTCTATTCAACCTTTTCTTTTGACCATTTTTTGTGCCTGCTGTATTACTTTATGTTCATAAAATAGGGGCACTAATGTCTTTTCTTCATTAAAGATTTATCTTTTCGTGAAATAGAATCCTAACTTGGGCACATCCATAAAGAAATTACTATGCATGTCTTTAGTGTGTGTTTCTGTCTGGTCGTATATATGTATATATATCCTATGTGTGCAAAGTGTGACTTATGCTAGGTTCGTCAGTTGTGGTGTACCCTAGATTTATAATAGTATATAACTATATACTCTCTAGGCCCCATAATTGTATGCCATAGATTCACAGTGGTGGTATCAACCACACAATTATTTCCTTAAGTAAACATGTTTTTGTGTGTGTGTGTGTGGACAGCATTGAAAGGAAATTGTGCAGAAAATGTATGAACCCTTAGTGGTTCAGGTTTAGTATCTCAGCTATTCTTATAGATTGAATAATGAATATTTGCTAGTAAGGTTTAGGGCCTTTAGGCTCTCCTTGACGAACACTGTTCACACATTTTCTGTCTGATATTCTTTTCAAGCAATCGTTCTTCAGTGATGTTTCTTCAAATTTATACCTATTAATTAGTTCCACAACCTTTTTTCTTCCTTGATATCATCATTTCAAGTGTTAATCTAGGTCCTTGTGGAAAAGTGTTGATGCTTAGTGCCAGTGGCGGATCTTTGTTCCAAACTATGAGTGTTCATTTATTTTATATAATTAAAATTTGAAAAGGCAATAAATAACTAAATTAAATTTATACATGTATACTAGCTTATTTTTTCAAATCTAGGTGTTCATATGAACACCTATGAACCTATGTAGCTCCGCCACTGCTTAGTGCCTTAGTTGTATTGTTTGTCATTCTACTCTTTCTATCGATATTGTTTTCATGCTTAGTCTTTCCAAAACTTGTTCTTCTCAATGGAATCAAACAAGTTCATTGTTTCCTAATGACATCTCCTCGCTGTGTTCAATAGGTAAAAAATGAATGTCAAATTATCAAGAAAACAGATATGTCTTTGAATTTGGGAAACACTTAACAGACTCACGACTAAACTTTTTTTTCCACTGTATATAATTTTTATGCATGCTGTACTCAGTATGAAGTAGTAAAAACATGTCCTATTTTCGCACTTAAAAATAAAGCTTATGGCATAAATATTTGATTTAGTGGATTTCTAAATTGTGCCCATGGGACTTATGATAAGAAGTCATCAAGTAATTAATGAGTATTTAATGCTTATAGTTATCTTAAACTATCATTGGTAATGGCGATGACTGATTTTACTGGTAATCGTCTCGATTTCAAATCACTTATTTCTCTCATTTGAAACTATCAAATCCTTCTTGAAACTTGAAAGTGAAACGCCATAATTTCATGTTAGCATATTCATGTGCCTGTGGGCACACAATACTAAAAGTAAAAAACCCGTTCATTTATAGTGTGTTTGGAGTAATTGGCTATTTTCCACATCCTTTGTTTTGGATAATGTACCAATGAGGTTGCCAAGTAGCTGCTTCATTTTGCTAGTGTCCTGTTGTTTTAATGAACTTACAAATTGGAGAAGCATTGGGCTGTTCATGTTATGCATGCCATTATATATATCTACAAGACTACAATGCTTGGTTATGTAACAAGTGTAAAGTCCTTGCATGTGAATTCATAATGTTTTATTTTTATCTTTATCTTTATGTGATTTGGGCATTTTCCTGATCATTTTCCTCGCATTTATCACAGTGGGCGCTTATGACATCACTGGACCCATCACAAAGTTTGGCCAACCTAACATATATTGGGTATAACTGTGATGCAGCATCTGCACTACGTGTTACTAGGCGAAGATCAGTTGACTGTAAGAAGCAACAATCAGATAGAAATGTTTACCAGTGCTTTGTTTTCGGACCTAAGCAAGCTGGAAAGTCTTCTTTATTGAAATCATTTTTAGGAAGGTGCAGAAATGGACCTATAGCTAATTAAATTCTTTTGTTAGGTTGTACTTCCAGGAGATTTACTCCCTCCGTCCCATTGGACTTTGCCAACTTTCCCTTTTTGGTTGCCCAAAAAAACTTTGCCACTTTCTTATTAAAGCAACTAATTTGTGGTTCTGCACATTTCTCTCTCCTATGCACAAATCTCAACCACACAGTTTTTACTATTCTTATTTCTCACCTACTTTGCACTTGGCAAAGTCCACCGGGACGGAGGGAGTATTATATATTATTATACAATTAATTCATTTGTTTTAAATTTTGATGTGATAAAGTACAGGCCCTTCTCTGATGAGTATGTACCTACAACTGAAGAGCGATTTGTTGTCAATGCTGTTGACTGTCCCGGGGTGAGCTCTCTTTCAGTATTGTCATTTGTCTTGAGCAAATTTTGCAACCGACATGATTATGCATCACAACTGCAGTTGTCAGTGAATATTTTTTTATCATTCAATTGGAACTGAAATAACATGACTGGCGAATGATTTGCCTTTTATTGCAGGGAATTAAGAAAACCCTTATACTTCGGGAGATTCCAGAAGATGGAATTAAAAAAATGTTATCTACAAAGGAGTCATTGGCAGCTTGTGACATAGCTGTGTTTGTATATGATAGGTGGGTGCCAAATGCTATTTTATCATAACTAATCACATCTTGGTTAGTTCACTTCAGTCATGCATATGGGCTGAACTTCATAAGTAAGTGAGAATATGATGCCGTTTAGTGTTGAGGAAATGGAAAATTGAATGCACTATACACAATATTTTCAGTATATAGAAGTGGCCTACTAGATGCTAGACCAAACATATATAAGAGTACAAAAACAAGTACGTTCCTGATGTTCCTATTGAAATGTGAAACCAAACTTATTAGATTGCTGCATGGCCATGAATGCTACATTTGGTTCTCAGATAGTTTATTTTACATCTTGTACTTTTCCTATACTACTCATATCCACTCAATTGCTCCTGTCTAAAAAATGTCCTATTCGAAAACTTATTTTTTTTCCATTAAAAAGTCCTACTTAAAACAAAAGAAACTAATTTTCATTGTATTTAGTTTTGTAAGTGTCCCAAACAATTGAAATATATTAATTATAGCTCTACCAACTAAGTTACTAACAAACTTAAAGTATAGGTAATATCAAGGGTTTCCACTAAAATCACCAAATAAACATAAGTATAGGTAGAATTAATTATTTCCAACAGCTATTAAATTAGATAAACTAACAAATAAACTTACAGTTTCTGAACATATTGCTAACATTTTGTTGTTGTAATTCCAAGTTAGTAAGATGTCATTTCTTAGTATATTCACATTGGATTAATCTGTTCTTCAGCTCAGATGAATATTCTCTAAAAAGAAGTTCTGAATTGCTCATGGATGTAGCGAGGCACGGGGAAGTTAGCGGCTTCAGTGTGCCATGTCTTTTCATTGCTGCAAAAGATGATTTGGATTCTTATCCAATGGCAATAAAAGATTCTGCAAAGGTATAAACATCTCTTTGTTTGTTACATCACTATTATGTAGTGTGTGATATTGGTGTAAAATTTCCTTGTTAGCCTCAATAACATTGGTATCGTCCTTTAATCACTTTGAAGATTTTTCTGCATACAAAAATATGATAAAAACATTGCTTTCTAAACTAGATGTGCATTTGCTTGTTGATTTGCTTACAGATATGCCAGAATTTTGGCATTGATTCACCTATTCATCTGAGCGTGAAGGAGAGGGATCTGAACAGTGTTTTCAGTCGAATTGTAAATGCAGCCGAACATCCTCATTCAAGTGTTCCTGAAACTGAAGTTGGACGCAACCAGAAACGATACCGGCAGCTTGTCAACCGCTCTCTAATGTTTGCCTCAGGTATCTTGAGTAATTGCTCTTTAACTAAAAGCATTTGGTTCACGAATAACTATCCATGTAGCAAACTAATACGGAGTAAATGTAAACATAGTAAAATGACACGGGTTTTGCAGTGGTTTAAAGGGGAAGTTTTTGGAGAGTAGTCTAATACTCACACGCATGCACATACGCACACACATGTTTGTGTGTTTGAATTTCTATATAAATTGAAAGATTAACATAATTTGGGTGATCATATATGTAAATTTGAATCCCATTAAATGTATTCATATGTAGAAGCATTTTATGTATCAGTATATATAGCTAGAGTAACGATCCTGCCAGGCCGGCAGGATGCCTCATTTCGAGGTGGTTCCCGGTGAAAGTTTTTGATCAAATTTTGTGAACATGTTCTTCATGAAGTGCAAATTATCTCCACAAAATTTCAGCTTAAAAATCGGTCGGGAAGTTAGTAAAATGTGGAATTGAAAAACATTGCGCGCTTTATATGTATAAAGTGCAGTGTTTTTAAATATTTTATTTAACTGTTTTCCGATTGAATTTTATGCTGAAATTTTGGTGGACATAATCTAAACGTCATGAAGAACATGCTAAAAAAGTTTCATCAAAAAATTCCACCAGGAACCACCTCAAAATGAGGTGGCCAAACGGCAGATCCTGTCAGACCGGCCTGACAGGATCATTCTTCTATATAGTTATATAACTAAGCCCTCAATAGCACACCCCTTCGAATATCCGACATCCAAATAGTTATACACTCGACTTTCCATATTTATCTCTTTTTGCTTGTTACTTTTAATCCTTACATGATAAAAAACAATTCACTTGAAAACACAAATATTCATTAATCATACGATTATAATTATAGTTTGAGAACGAAGGAAGCCCTATCGAACAGATGTTCATTCGCATCCTTTGCTCTGTATTTGCATTGATCTCTTTGACTGTCGATTCAAAATGCAGTTGCGGCTGGTGTAGGTATAGTTGGATTGGCTGCATATCGCTCTTATGCTGCAAGGAAGAACACCTAAGACACCATTTTACCAATTTGTTATCTGCTGGTCATCAACAGAACAGGTCAATAACTTTGGTGCTAGTAGAATTCTTACTCTGCAATTGGTAGTCTTCTATGCATTTCGCTGTTGTAAATAATTATAGTATGTATACCAATTTTGTATTCGACAATGTTATTGTTTGAGTTTTTATTTACATTTGATTCTTACCCCTCCATCTCATTGGACCTTGCCAACTTTTCTTTTTTATTTGTATAAAAAACTTTGCCAACTTTTCTTTTTTATTTGTATAAAAAACTTTGTCACTTTCCCTTTAATGTAAATAATTAGTGGTTTTGCTTATTTCTCTTTTCTTTTAATAATTCTCAGTCATATAAATTTTACTTTTCTTATTCTACACCTAACACAAACTTGGTAAGGTCAGATGTGAGGGATGTAATACCATTTTCATCCCCATGGAAACATACTAAAAAGTTGTTCCATTTGCATGATCTCGATGTTTCTGGGTTGAGTTTTTGAAGACATGATTTGAATTGAATATTTATGATCTGATTTGAATCTTTCTAGACTTCTAGAATGATTTGAATCTATATGAATTATTTTGAGCTGCTTTGAATTGCGCTTCAACATCAATATGGTTGTGTGTTGTACTGTTCGGGCTGGTCCGGTTCGGCCCGACCTGGGACCCGGTCCAGCTCGTTAATGTGCAGGCCTGGCCCGACTCGGCGGGCCGGGACCGGGACTGGGGCACGAATCGGGGCATTAAAGAGACAGGTTACGGGCTTGATAAATGGTGAATCGGCCTTGCTGGGCCCGGTCTAGGCCTAATTTTTTTTGTTAATTTTTTGGCATTGGGTTGGCTGCTAAATCGGTGGGATTGGGCGGTTCGGGGGGTTTGGGGATGGGGGGAGGGGGTTGGAATTAATTCGAAATGACCTGAACAAAATTATTTGGAGCCCAACCTTGCCCGGCCCAATACTAACCTGGGCCGGTACCGGGCTTGATTTTTTTGACCCAGAGCCCGCCCAAGCCTAACCTGGATCCTAGCCCAACCTGGTCTTGACCCATCCCTATTTGTACGAAAAAAGTCGTAAAAACAACTATAATAGTACTCTAAAATGTTTGATAACAAGAAAGTTTGAAATGAGGATCAAGAACGAAAGCAATGACATACGAAGTATATAGGTGGAATATAGAAGTAATTTTTTAAAAACCTTTCTTTCATTAAATCACAAAAAATGAACATATTCGCATTTTTAAATTCCTTAAAAACACTGGCAAGATTAACTTTTTTTTTATATATAAAAAACATGTTACCAATAGGTTGATGAATATGAGAAAAAGAGATAGTAGCATTGTGAATACAAACTAACACGTTGGAAATCTTTTCTATGGAGTCTAGCTCCCATAATTCTAAAACGTATACACAAATTCCTTTCAAAAAAGCAGCAACTCGTTTTTAAATCACAACCTAAATAATTTTAATACGCCTGTTAATTTTTAAGTACAACCTAAATAATTTTAATACGCCTGTTAATGTTATCTATCATAGATCCTGATGCAAACAATCTTTCACATGTAAATCAATAATATGACATGCACAACGTTGATGAAAAAATCTATCCATCAAATTCAAAATACCACAAATTCACACAATCTAGGTATATTAGCAGTATTATTAATAGTAATACCAAAACAACAAACAAACATCTTCACAGTTTTCTTTCAAAGACAGACTTCTCACGTGATCTCTGTATATATATAAATATACTACGTATTAAATATTTAAAAAAATACTTGTTTACATATTTAATGACTAAAATAAAGTCTGCTTATGTGGCATCTTAAATGTGATAACTATATAAATCAATAAAAATGTGATAACTATAATATTAATTCTAGTCATATAAATTTGTGTTAAATTTTAACACCTACGTGACTGAGTTTGTGACACTATACAAATAACTTTAGTCATATTTTCAATGGGAATCCAATTCGAGATACTCTAGTTGAACAGTAATTATACTAGACTTAAATATTAACGGGGTGGACTAAATATAAAAAATGAAAAAATTTACCCTTAAAAAGTTAAAAAAAAAAGTTACCCTGAGTTTCAATCCACCATAGCTTGTACATAGATCCTCCCCTGCATATTTTTTAAATAAGTTTTATTTCTATAATATTTTTTAAAAATTCTCATTTTTTAATAGGAAAATCCAAAAAACAAAGGGTAGCATGGACATTTCCTTAAAAATAAAAAAATCAACTCAAAAGTAGATTTAGGTGTTTTGTCTTAAGAGGCTGATCAGCAGTATCTAAGGATGGCAATGGGGGCGGGGGCCCGTGGGGAACCGCCCCGTGGGGGGGGGGAGTTGGGGCGGGTGGTGGGGCGGGGCGGGTGGTGGGGTGGGGGAGATATTTTCTCCCCGCATAAATATGGGGCGGGTGATGGGTTATGCACCCCCCGCACCGTCCCCGCCCCGTCCCCCGTAATAATTAATAATAATAATAATCTCAATAATAACATGGTGGCCCGGTGGGTTTAGTGGTTTCCTATCTAATGGATTGTGCCTAATGGGTCTATCTAATTCTTGTTTAATAACTAAGCTATCTTGTAAAATTGCTTATCAAAATCATAAAGTAAAATGATTTGTTTAGGGATAAAGTAAAATGAATTTGGGAAAGTTATAAAGTGATATTAGCTTAAACGCCCTAGGCACAGTGTGAAAGTTTTTTTCCTTTACTATTACAATGCATTAATTCTTTTCTTTTGAATGTCATCTTTATGATTGTAGTTAGGGCTCTTAAAATTTTGTGATCATATGCCGTCCTAGATGCCATCAAATGACCATGATTGATTGAATGTAGGGTTTAAGAAAATATTATAGAGCTAATCAATGCTAATTTAGAATTTGATAAAAATGACTAAATTAGGACGTGTATAATGTGTTCTAGATTTGAAATGGGATGTAAGATTACATTGACACTTAGGGTCTGTTTGCAACAACTTCTGCTTTTAAAAAAGTGTTTTTTTTAATGAAATGGGGAGAAGTGATTAAATAAAAGTTGATAGTGTTTGAGAAAAAAGTGATTTTGAAAAGTAAAAGTGGGTAGTGTTTGGTAAAATAAGTGCTTTTTGTGTAATAGAAAAAGTAAAAGCATTTTTGACGCGAAAGCCGAGAAAAATAAAAGTTGTAGTGTTTGAGAAAATAAGTGTTTTTTTAAAGCCAAAAGCTGAGAAGTGCTTTTTTAAAAAGAGTTGCAAACCAACCCTTAAAAAGTAAAAAAAAAAAAAATTGGCTACTAGAAGTGTTGTTTAATTTTTGAAAAATTGTCAGTCTAAAATGATGTTAATTTTTGACGAGTACTTCCCCCGTTGGGTACCCGTGGGTCTAGCGGGTCGGGGCGGGGATGGGGCGGGTCGAATAGTAGTGGGGGATGGGGCGGGGGTGGGGGCGATTTTTTAGACACGGGGCGGGGGATGGGGGAGTGAACCCCCGCCCCAACCCCGCCCCATTGCCATCCCTAGCAGTATCAACCACAAAGGGTAGCATGGACATTTTGTAATGTTGTTTGGTGTTTTTTTTTAAATACGGCTTATTAGCCGTATTTATTGTTCATATTTACTGCCCGCTCTGTCCTCAACATAAGTTCATATAATCATATTTGAACAAAAAGAAAATTTCTAATAAACATATTAAATCTCACTATTATTGTTACACTTTGCTTACTTTTTATTTGATCTGATATAATTATAGGACAAAGCAAAAACTTGTGCTGCATAAATATGTGCGTAGCTAATGAGAACTTACTTTTGTGAGGAAGCGAGTATTATATGATTACCAAAGGAAATATTTAATTTTTTTGCTACTAGCAAAGAAATTGAGATGACCTATGAGAATGAAATTACCCAATTGGAATAAATTTAGAAGGGAAGTGGAAACAAATGAAGATAGTATGTAACAGTCAAGTCCCACAAGACTAGAATACTACAACTCCAAAGGAAGCATTATTCCATTTATCGTCAAGACATTCCAAGAACAGTAGGAAAGCACTTGGAATTGGTTGAGTTACTTGAGTACAACCAAAGTACGGACCACAAATGAACCTTTCATCCATCATCTCACCCAATATAAAATCCCGGAAGGTGAGCCAATGATATTGCGAAAGCTAGGAACTAAGTGACATGCCGTGGAGCTACATACATTGCATAGATGATAGACCACGTATGACTGTCTCACACATGTAGAGTTCTTTTAGGTTGGATAGACACACACAGGGAAGACGCGTGGTACTTGACACACACAGGGAAGCCGCGTGGTACTTGACTAGACCGTAATGGTAATGAACCGAATGATGATAGAATTAGATGTTTCATTCTTTCATATCGAATTACCAAAAGCATCTTAGACGGATCACGTTTTACATACCTGTTATTCTGAACCACACAATTCAATCATATACACCTTCACCAATTTAACATTCAAGTTTGATCGACTTGCACGATATTGAAAAAAAGTAATCGTATGTATTGAAGTTTAAGAATGTTTTCTTTTGGACTGAAATTTGCTGGTCTGGTCTGGTTTGATCTGGTCTGGTCTGGCCTGTTTAAGTCTGGTCTGGAATTTGCACGATATTCTCCATGCACTTTACTTTTTGCAAAGTCATACTCTAATCCAACCATAAAGTAGTATGTGTACACTTTACTACCTCCATCCCATAAAATTCTGTCCACTTTCCTTTTCGGGTCGTCCCAAAAAATTCTATCCACTTACCATTTTGGACAATTTGTGTGGTTCACATTCATTTCACATTTTTCTTATACAACCATAATTATACATTTCCACTTTATTTCACTTTCTTAATCTCCGTGCCAAGTCAAACTGGGAAGAATTTTGTGGGACGGAGGGATTAGAATATCAATAGTTCTTGGTGTACACCCTGGGTTACACCCTGGGGTACACCCATTTATTTGCCCTTCTCACAGACAAAAAACACACAAATACAGACACTTTCATTGAAAGTGCCGGTGTGAGTAAAATTAGTTTCTAGATCTGTCAGGCTGGTTGCATGGAAACCAATGTCGGTGTACACAAACATTAGTTATCTGTGTAAACAAAAAAGTGTCGGTGTGAAAAATTAATTGGAAAACAAGTGTCGGTGTACAAAGACGTTAGTTGTCTGTGTAGACAAAAAAGTGTCGGTGTGAAAAAATTAGTTGGAAAACAATTGTCTGTGTACACAGACTTATGTGTAGACAAAAAAGTGTCAGTGTGAAAAAATTAGTTGGAAAACAAGTATCGGTGTACACATACGTTAATTGTCTGTGTAGACAAAAAAGTGTCGGCGTGAAAAAATTAGTTGGAAAACAAGTGTCGGTGTACACAAACGTTAATTGTCTAGTATAAAAAATGTGTCTCTATATATACAATTTTCGTCTATGTACACACACTATAGCAAACCAGTGTCGGTGTGGATAAAACGTAAAAAGTGAGAAGGAAAGAAAAAGAAGAAGATGGTGATGAAGATAATGAAGATTATTAGGGTGAATAAAACCTAAAAAAGAGAAGGAAAGAAGAAGAAGAATAAGAAGAAGATGAAGGAGAAAGGAAGAAAGAAAGAAGAAAGAACAAGATGTTGAAGAAGAAGAAAAGGAAAGAAAAAAGAGAGGAGGGAGGGGGATCCGTATGATTCAAAAGGGAGAGGAGTGGAGAGAAAAAAGTTGGGAGGGGAGAAATAAGAAATGGGGGGTTATATAGGGTGTATACCAAGGTGTAACCCAAGGTGTACCAAAAGAATTTTTCGTAGAATATACAAAGTATTTTCTATTTTGAGAATATAAAAATAGTTCAATTGACGAAAGTATATATGAGACTATGAGAGCATAGCTGTATTTTTGTGTAATGGGATTAACATATACGAGTAACATGCTGATTCAATAATTAACTCTCATAGAAAAGGTATTAGTGTAGGCGTGTAGCTAAAACAATCGAGACACACTGGAAAATGACTCAATAATCACACTTTTTACAGTCTAACTAGTGACTGAAATACACATAGTACCACTATGATAACATTATTATTTACTACATATCTCATGAATATAGAGTCTCCTGAATAGGAGTCGTGATTAATTAAATCTAAGCGTACTGATAAATGATGGCACAATCTAACGATTATTTCGATTTAAAAAATTACAACACAACATATTAATACCTAGTGCATTCGTGCTCTTAGGAGTCTTAGTCCACATGTGGACCCACCAATACGGTCAACCCCATAAACTAAGATTTCAGGAAATTGCCACGTAACAGTACGGCTGCTGTCCCGTCCAGCTCTGCATCTCACTGCTCTGCTCACTCTCCATGCACCTGCTTCCCGCCGCCATCGCCGCCACCGGTTTTCCTATCGGAACAACCTCGTCGCTGCCGGCCGCGACATCTGTAGTTTCCTCACCCTCTACTTTTTCTTCAACTTCATCTTCCTCATCTTCAACATCCTCGTTATTATTGTTATTGTTATTGTTATTATAACAACAATAATCCTCTGCCTTTCGCAATGACATCCTAAGCCGCCCGTCAGCCCTTTCCGTGTGAAAGAAAGGGCTGCAAGCGGTGGCGGCCGTTATAATCAAACGGCCGCCTTCTCGGCGGGGCTTCACCTTGATACCGTCGCAGCCGCTGATTGAAGACAGGGGAGGCGGGAAGGTCCCGGTTCCGTTCGACTTCTTGATATTCCGGCAGTTTGAGGAAGCTAATCTCGCCGGCCGGGGCTTTTTCTCGTTCTCCTCTAGAAGCAAGAATAACTCGTCGAGGCTTTCGCAAATGCTGGCGCCATTTTCGCTCCCTAAGCACTCTGTGCACATGTCGAAGTTTATCTTCCTAGTTGAAGCAGAGGGCTTCGGGGTTGGATGAAAGTAACGCTGCTCTAGCGCCGGCGCCGGAAATGTCTGAGTATTCGTCAGTTCATAGAAAGAGCTGGTCATTTTTGTCACTGAGTTATCAGGGAAATATAGTGAACTGAAAACAGGGGATGAGAAAAACAGAGTGAGTTGATGATGATAAGTCTATATTAAAATGCTAGGAATTTGGACTTTTTGGGAAAATATATAGTGGGATTGGTTTTTTATATTCAATGCATGCATTTGGTGAACAATGTCGATAAATTAAGATTGTGGGTGGAGGAGATTCAAGGGACTAACAAAAGTTGAAGCATGAGGTAAAGTGAAGGTGTTTGTGAGTTAAGAAGTTGGAAACTTGCAATGGGAAATGTGTGAAGTGTGATATATTTATAGGATGGAGAGACTCTTTATTGGACCACATATAGTGATGAAGAGATTAGGAATTCGAAGTGTTTTAATTGGATATTTGTGTTCCTCATGTTGATACATTAGGGATATTAATGTGAAATGGTGGAAGCCAAAAGTAGACGAAAGAAATAGTCTCTTGAACACCTAGAGGAATGGAAAAAAGAAGGTTACTCAACAAGGGTTAGTTATTGGACGCAAGGAAAAAAACTCTCATTTTTTAACGAGACTCGTTAAGTCATTGTGATTTAAAAATTTGTAAATCATAGTGACACAACTCACCTTGTACTTATCAGAATCATTAAGGAAGTTGTATACTATCATTGGTTTAGACGTTTAGTCACCGTGGTTTACACTTTTCTATGATCTCTTAGGTCGGAGCTTAGCCACGGTCCATCTTTAAAATATAACAAATATTAGATTCTATCAAATATGTTAATATGAGTACTAATAAATATTAAATGTTAAAAATGTTAAATTCTAACAAATATTAAATTCCATTTTACTAAATATTTGAATGTAACTAAACAAAATGTCAAGTGTTTTAATAAAAGAAATGCGACCTAATTTTTTGTTCTTGAAATAAAAATTCGAACTACCTTTTATCCTTGAAATAAAAATTCTAAATATTTTTTATACTTTAATGAAATGTAACAATTATCTAGTTTAAAACTTTAATGACAAATGTAACGATTAACTAGTTTTATAATTTAAAAACAAATGTAACAATTAACTAGTTAACTAATACGAAAATGACATATGTAACAATTAACTAGTTAACTAATATTAATAAAAAATGTAACTAATAGATAAAATGTATGAACTAATAGATATGTATAACTAATATATAATATAATGTTTATAGTATATAATTTATAAATATATTACTATAAGATGAGTAATACAGTTATATTAAATACTTTAATATATATATATAAGTATATATAAACTAAATGTAATATGTAAATATAAGTAAATAACAATAATATAATAAGTAGATAACAAGTAGATATTAAGTAGATATGAAGTAAATATTAAGTAGATAATAAGTATATTTTAAGTACATAATAAATATTAGTAATATAATATATGTATTTATAAGTAGATAATGCATATATAAGTAGATACAATAATTGTATAAATAATGTATGTTGAGAGAATTGAAGAAGATGAAGATGGAGATGATTAAGAGTATTAGAGAATACAGAGTAGGATTGTAGGAAGAGTTGAAGAAGAGTTGTAGAAAAATGTATAGAAAATATGAGGATATATAAGAAAAATAGGATATATACAGGATTTTTTTGTACCCCACCCCCCAAAACCTCCAGGACCCCCCCTCCTCTGCCTATAACAGCTATATAGCCGTTTGGGAATAATCCCAATGCCTAGGAGGACTTTTAAGCCATTATTTTTAAAAATAGCCGTTGCGGCCTGGACCGGGCTCGGCCGGGCCGGGCCGGTTTCATTTTTGGCTGAACCGAACCCGCTCTCTCTAAAACCCGGTGCGGTCCACCCAGACCGGTCCTGGGCCCGGTGGCCGGGCCGGACTAAAACAGTACCAGGCCGGTTCACGGACCGGTCGGCCCGGTTGCGGTTTATACACGACGTATTAGAAATAAATAAATCAAGTCCTAACTCCTAACTACTTCGTATTTAAATACATAACACAAACAATACGGAGTAACTTTTAACGTCAAATCTGATCATTGTAACTATAAGAACATGACATCATATCTTACTACAACCACACTTGAGGTACACACTTTTCATACACACTTATACACACTCGTGTCTGTGAAGAGTTATTTTTTGTCTGTATACAGATGATGGAGTATATGGCCCGGGAACCCCCGGCCCATAGACTCCTACTTCTTTCCTACACAGGCCCATTGAGCCCAGGGAACATCTCAGGCCCAAATGCAACGGCCCAAGCCTCGAAGGAGCCCAGAATACACACTGGGGTGCCTTCGGCCTACTTGGCCGAAGGCTCCAAAATAACACGGGGAGGCCAGATTCGAGCATACAAAGCCACTGGGAGAAAACGGCATAAAATGGTAGCCCTCGGCTACCAGAGGCCTTCGGCACATATGGAGCCCTCGGCATAAGGGAATCCTTCGGAGTCCACTTGCCTTCGGCTTGCATGGAGCCCTCGACCGAAGGGGAAGCCTTCGGCCAACTACTCAATCATCGAAGATTCCCTTTGGGGACACCCAACCACCGCATTTTATGCGACGTCACATCCACCCACCGCATTCAATGCGGTGAACATGCCACTGCCGGTGCCACCCGATTGATGTGACCCTTCGGCCGTTGGATTACTGACACGTGTACTCTCATCGCATTTATTGCTGCTATAAATAGCAGCCCTTACTCTCCTTGTAACGACACGCTGAGTTCATTTAATAAAATCGACTCTCTCTCCTCCTATTTTGCCCTGACTTCTCTCTAGTTATTCCCGCAATAACCCCTCGGATAAGATACCCCCCGGGTAGACTATCCATCATTTGGTGCTCTCGTTGAGAGGTCTGAACAATCAAGTAAGAAACCCTCCCCCTCCACCAAACACAAAACACCTACCAAAAATGGGAAAAACTTGTGCTCAATCCAAGACCCTCGAGGAAAACCACGTAGCCCCCGGCGAAACCAACGGGGCTGAAGCCTCCAACAGGCTATTGGTACCCGAAGGCGGTACCATCCTCGAATTAGAGCAGGCTGCTACTGACCTCCGTCAGCAGCTACTAAAGAACGCCCCTGATGCCCGCATTGGCCTTGATAATCGAAGGAGGGATCGGAGTGAGAACCAGGTTCCTCCTCCGGCCCCTGCCATCGATCTTCAGGCTGCCTTTGCGGCCTTCGTCCAAAACATGGCTCTCAACCCTGGAGCCTTCGTCTCTCAGGCACCCCTCCAACCCTATGTCGGAGGAAATGTTGTCCACTTTCCGCCACTCCCTCCTCTGTTCAACAATCCTCCCCCGGGGATTGGCAACGCCGAGGGGGTCATGGCACAAGATACCGCCTCCCAAGAGGCCCAATCCAAGGACAAGCGGCCCATACACAAGGAAAAACCCCGAACCTCTGCACTTGAGAGGCTAGGGGGTGCTCCCGGACACCGAGGGGTCCAAGATCGCCTCGGTAAGCAAGCAATTAGCAGGCCCCAGGAGAGTGGGGCCTCTGCCTCGGGAGCCGAGGGCATGCCTCCCCCTTGGGATAAAGGCAAAGCCCTCCTCCATGTTGATGACGCCAGGCACCAAATCAACCAGGCCCAATCCTTCCGGGCCAACTCCCAAGGGGTTGCCCCGAAGGATCCCAAGGACGAAATCATTGAAGCCCTCCTCCGTCAACTCGAGGAGACGCGTCAGGCGCCCCCGGAAACCCCTACGCCGGGGCCTGACCCAGGCTACGCTTCCCTCCGCGCACAAGTGGAGGAACTAAAGCGCCAGATTGCTGGAGGCTCCGATGAACCCCTCATCCAGCTCCGCACGAGAACACCTTTCACTCCGAGGGTGCTGGCGGCCAAGATCCCCAACAAATACCGGGGGCAACCCATCAAACCATACGAGGGGAAGACGGATCCCCAAGAACACTACAGCAGGTACCAGAATAGTATGATGATGATGGGTGCATCGGATGAATACTTGTGCCGTTGGTTCCTTTCCACTTTGGAGGGGCCAGCGTATGAGTGGTTCAACCGATTGCCCGAAGGCAGCATTGATTCTTGGCAAGAGCTTGCCCACCGATTCCTCACACAATTCGTCGGGAGGCATCGTTCCATGAAACACTTCTCCCATCTCCTAAATGTAAGGCAACAGAAGGAGGAGACCCTTCGGGATTTCCTGGAATGCTGGAGGACGGCTTCCGTCGAAGTCGATGGTGCCGATGACAGAACACTCATGGCCCTCTTCCACACCGTCCTCCGCAACGGTAATTTCTCAAGGAGCCTCATTACTGACCCCCACACGATTACACTAAAGCCCTCCAGCGGGGGGACCGATATGCGGAGGCCGAAGAAATTGAGAAGAGCCGCCGGAATCCGGACCCTGCTCAGAGGCCGGAGCCGAGAAATCGCCCCGGAGGGCCATCCCCTCCGGCACAACAAAATGACCGCCCCCGGAATAACCAAGCCAGATCCGGAGGCAACTACAAAAATCACCAGAGGGAGAGGGGCCTTGTGGAATGCGGCTCTCGCACCCCCCTCGAGATATATGCTGTTGCACCCGATGAACCCTATTGCCGCTTTCACCGACGTCACGGGCATATGACCGATGACTGCCATCAACTGAAGATGGCCATTGAGAGATTAATCCAGGTGGGCCACTTGTCCCAATTTGTCAAAGGCCCTCCTACTCAGGGACCCCCTCACCACCATGGGCAACAGCCGAAGGCTCATACGTGGATCAACCCAAACACCATTCCTTTGGGAAATCCACAGGGGAATAAGCGCGAAATTAGGGGCTTCGATGATGAGGAAGAGGGCTCTGAACAGCAATATAAATGCCACGTCCACATGATTAATGGAGGCAACATTGGTGGAGACTCCACCAGCCAACGAAAAAAATGGGCTCAATCCCTCTACGTTGGGGAGGTCAACCACATGCCCCCGACTAAGAGGCCGAGGGGGGAGCCCATCTTCTTCACAGATGCGGACCTCCCCCCGGGCTCCCTGCCCCATAGGGATGCCCTCGTCATCCGCACAGAGATCAATGACGCCATCGTCCTCCGCACCTACGTTGACACAGGTAGCTCCGTCAATGTAATGTATCTTAGTACCTTTCGAGAACTCAAGCTCGATATGGGATCCCTTCGACGGATCAAGACCCCCCTCTCCGGTTTCACAGGCGATAGCATTGATGCCGAAGGCGTCATCTCCCTGATGGTCGAGTTCAGCGACGGAATCCATAGGGCCAAGCTCGAAGTGGAATTCGTCGTCGTCAACCTCGACTGCGCTCACAACATCATCCTCGGCCATCCCGCCCTCGAGGACCTAGAAGCTATCATCTCCATG